GGGGGAAGGTGGGCAAAGTCTATTGTTTCAGGGAAAGTTTATTTTCAGACCTAATTTCATGCATTCAGGTTATTTATGAGAAACAGAAATGACAAAACAAGATTTTCTAACTGAGTTTTCATGTAACAAAATAACAATAATCATTTACCTTTAACATAAATTTAACAACTTGTTCATTGAAATTAATTTATACAACATTCTGACTGTAAAAACCTCAATGAAGAGCTACAGGAAGCTGGCTGTAGCAGCTGCTACTGCATCTTTATTTCCCTATGGTGACTGAAGTGACGGCTGATTGTTTTGAAGTGGTCAGTGTTCGTTCATGATTCATAATATTCCCTACAAAAACATTTGTGATGCGTTTTAGATTAGTAAGTCTGAAGAAAAGAGGTTCATGATCTTATTTTTACTGGAGGCCAGAAAGTAAAAAACAAACATCTGATTCGGATAAATTAGATGTTTTTTTTTTTTTTTCAGATTTGACTACTGTGAGTCGTGGAAACTCTCAGGACTGAGTAAAGTTGTGTTTCAGGGGTAGAAAGGCACCTGCTGGTTGATATTAGTGTGTGTGTGAACTACAAAATGTAAACAATTATATTAACTAGTCTAGTAAAAAGGTAGCAGCTGTGTGGCAAGCTCTTATTTTTCCCACCCAGTGGTAGCGGCCCCCCCGGGCCCCCCTCTAGAACCACCACTGGGTATGATGGGAGTGGGGTGGGCTCACCGGATGCTCTTAAAGGCTGACTCAGCAAGAAGTTCCACCAAGACGTGGGGGTGTGGGGGCAAAATCCTTTAAACCTGAGTGTTCGTCAACAGCTTTTTGTTTTATTAGCTTACAGCTAAGTTAGCCTTAAAGGAGGAGGGGGAAATTATTTTTTTTAATTAAAAAGGTAGTCGTTACAAAATAGCAAATCAGACGTAAAAAAGATGATCAGTTTGAAAGGCAATGCTCTTGTAGTTTAACAAATATATTGATGTGTGTCACTGAAATGTGGGTCTGTAGTCAACGTAAACAAAGTTGTCTCTGCTGAAACCACGTGGAGGCTTGAGTCGCATGGCTGACCTACATTAGGCTCTGTGTAAACAAAAACGGTCAGTAAGCTGAGGCTGTTTTCATAGATGCACCTGGTTGTTATTATTTATCAGTTTGTGAAAAATAATCGTGCAGGTTTACTTCCTGTTTAGTGAATTTCTTTTGTTCGGTCCTCAGGACTTTGCGATGAGCACCTTTACTGAGGAAGGAGTAAAACACGGTTGTAGCATCTGAAAGCTGAAGGATGCAGTCACGCCTTGAGCACACTCTGAAAGCCACATGGTTGTCTGTCATGATGGGGGTGGGGGGGCGACAGGAGGGGGCTGGGCTCAGACTGAGGCACAAAGACTGCAGAGAGGGTGAGGTTCCCTCAGTGAAATCCTGATTTACCTCCAGACAAAAACAAACAGGCACATGAGCCGAGATGGATTTTTTTTTTCAAAACAACCCCCCACTTTTTTAGAGATTTTATGCTGCTGAAGTGTAAGTTTTGAATTTTTAGAGGAGAATCAGGTGGATCCAGAAAGAGGCGATTGGACCGTTTCTGTCCTGACTATAGAAGTGGGGGGTGTCGTTTGATGGGGCCCTTTGTTAGGACCCCCCCCCCCCACCCCCAGCACCAGAGCTGGTCCGGTTAAAACAGGAGCTTCCTGTCATGAAGGAATGGTTGTTTTCCTCTCAGCGTGGCTGCTCCCCTCCGTGCAGCGTGGCTTTGTTTTGACTCACCTACAGTTCAGCAGCCTGGGAGCAAACCTTAAATCCTGACTCTGATTCAGTCATCTCTGTCCTTTAGAAATGATTTTATTTGGACGTTGACGTGTTAAAACCTAAACAAATGAGCGAGTTGTTCCATGAGCAGATCTATTAGCCAAGTGGTGGCCTTAGAGGGCATTTTCAGAATTGGGGCATGAGCGACTGTAACCCCTCTGAGTATCACCATCCTTCCTCCTCTACTGTTACTTCCTGGAAGTGAGTCTTCCTCAGCAAAGTGGGTCTGTGTGGGGCATTAGGGAAATATCCTGCCTCAGTCTGAAGTGTCTTTAGACGCCTGCTGAACGCTGAGGGTGGCTTCCTCAGTTTGTCCGACGAGTTGAGCGGCGAGCCGAAACAATCAATAAACCTGGAAATATTCGTAAAGACGCTGCCTGAACAAACGAACGAAAGCTAACCTGTGCTAACGTGTCCTCTGTGTGATGTATGTGTGATATAAACAGAACTGCTGTCTGTTCGTGTTCTTGTTGACCTCAAACGTACCTGCCGGTCCTCTTTCAATAATAACTGAGACAATACATTTCCTGTCCTGTCCTCGCACAAGGTCAGATGAACTGTCATGAAATAACATTAACCTGCACTCTCCCATGGCAGAACACTGTCTAAAAGCACTTAATGCAGTCCACTTGTACAGAATAATCAAAAACAGTCTGGTTTACAGCAAGAAATGGCACCAAAACGAAGCCAACGTGGGCTGACCGTGTTGTTTTTCAAGTTCAAGGAGAGGTCACAGCAGCAGAATCTGTGGCGGCCAGCACCTCTGCACTCTGCGTGTGCACGTTGATAAATTATAATTTGAAGAACAATAAAAACAAGCTAATGCTAAAGGGCCTGAGAGCCCCTAAATCACACTAATTACTGAATGTCGGAGCAGTGAATAGAAGCAGAAGCATCTAAATTAAATTTCTTCCTGTCAGTAACGCTGGTATGTCACTGAGATAGGAGGTAGTAAAAATTAGTTTCACTGAACTCATGAGAGTTTGCGACCATGGCCACGTTTTAAAAAATCATGTTTACTGCTTGTAAAACTGTATTCCTGGCCGTGCACATTCTTATGTTCGGATTTTATGATTGATAAGAAAGGATGTTGCACAAACTAAACTGAAACAACGTGGCTGCGTGCCTCTCCCACTCACAAGGAAGAACTGTGTAAGAGTCGTTATTCTTAAAGCAGGGGTGCCCAAACATTTTCTCTGTAAGGGGCCAAAATTAAAATCAATCTTAGGGCCGCGTGCCAAATGCAGTAATATAATACATGAAATGAAAATACTTCTTAAGTAAAGTTGTTTTATTTTTATGAATAAGCTAGCAGCCAGTGCAGTTGCCTACATTCTTTTTTTTTTCAGCCCATGGATGTGGAGAAAATTCAACATATGCTCGGGCAGCAAAAGCTCATGGGACTTTTCATAAATTAAAATTTGAATGTATGTGATGTAAGGTGTGCAAATGTAGATGTGTGCTTACATCTAATCTAAATGTTTCATGTAGTTACTAGGGGTGCAACGATACCGAAAATTCATGATTCGTTTTGGTACTTTAGTCTCACGGTTCGATATTTTTTCGTTACAAAAAATTGAAGTTTTCATGCCCCTATTAACTTATAATTTATTTAAATTAATTATGAACATTTGTTTAACCTCAAAAGTACAGTTTTTAAATGAAATTTGCTGAAACAGCAAGTTTCTTAGTGGATCTGTGCTCAAAAATGCAGCCTAGGTGGAGTAGTCGAACACAGATCCACTGATCCTTCAACACAGAGCTTGTTGTTGATAAAATAAATTTTAAAAATCTGTATTGTTCGATACAAGTGTGTATTGAACCTAAAGCACGGTTCGATATGGGTACATGTATTGTTGCACCCCTAGTAATTACTTATATTTTATATTTAATCTTAACATAATTCAAAGATAAAGTGAGTATCATGAGTTAAGACTATCTGACTTCAGCTCCTTGTACCTATAGTTGGACCAAAGGTTGAAAAGTGGAAATATGGTGTTTCTACATAGGACAGGAGATTACAGTTAATAACCAGGACAACTGCTGGTGGGCCAAATCAAATGGCTTGGCGGGCCAACTTTGGCTCACGGGCCCCACTTTGGGCACCTCTATCTTAAAGAGACCCCCTAACTCTTTGCTTTGATGCACGTCTTAAAACAGATTTTAAAAGTCTGAAATGTGTCCTTTCAGGCTGCAAGATCAAAGCCCTGCGAGCCAAAACCAACACCTACATCAAAACGCCGGTCCGAGGAGAGGAGCCCGTGTTCCTGATCACCGGCAGGAAGGAGGACGTAGCGCTGGCCCGTCGTGAAATCATCTCGGCCGCAGAGCACTTCTCCATGCTCCGGGCGTCTCGCAATAAGCTGGGCGTGTCCTTCAGCGGCTCCCCGCCCACGCCCTTACCGGGCCAGACCACCATTCAGGTGAGAGTGCCATACCGTGTGGTGGGGCTGGTGGTGGGGCCCAAAGGCTCCACCATAAAACGCATCCAGCAGCAGACCTGCACCTACATCGTCACCCCCAGCCGGGACCGCGACCCCGTCTTCGAGATCACCGGCTCGCCGAGCAACGCCGAGCGGGCCCGCGAGGAGATCGAGGCGCACATCGCCTTCCGGACGGGGGGTCTGCACGACCACAACAACGAGAACGACTGTCTGGGGCCGAACGGCGGCGGCAGCCCGGCGGGCAGCACCGGCGGTCTGGAGAGCCGGCTGCAGCAGGTGTGGGGGCTGCAGGGGGGCCAGCGCAAGCCCCTCACCAGCAGCTACCGCCAGAACTTCTCAGACACCATCGTAGGAGGGGGCAGCGGAGGAGGAGGGGGCGGAGAGGGAGGAGGGATCTACAACAAGGGCAACTACTCCAGCTCCGGGGAAAAACCATGCTCCTATTTTGGATCTGAGGGCACCCAGGGCTGGGGCGACCCGGACTACCCCAAACAGGTGTCCTTTTACACCCAGCAGCGCTCCAAAAGCTTCGGGGGCCTCCCGCTGCCCCTCACCAGACTGTCCCCGGGCCTGGCCGAGCCCTGCGGAGGCGGAACCAACAACTCTTCAGTCACCAGCATCGTGTCCGGCTCGCCTCACGCCCAGGCCCGCCGCGCTCACAGCGAGCCCACCTCGGCCGGCGAGGGCTTCCCGGGCCGCCTGCCGGTGCCGGACTCGCCGCCGGCCACCGTGCGGGACTGCATGACCTGCTTCGAGAGCAAAGTGACGGCTGCCTTGGTGCCCTGTGGCCATAACCTGTTCTGCATGGAGTGTGCCATCCGGATCTGTGAGCTGAACCACCCGGAGTGTCCGGTGTGCCACACCCAGGTCACACAGGCCATCCGGATATTCTCCTAAAGAACCACGTCAGTTTTTACTCTTGGTTTCCTCAGTGTTTCTTCAATAATTATTTACTGTTCTGGTAATAATTCTTATTATTAATATTATTCTTATTATTATATTATTATTATTGTTATTGTTATTATTATTAATATTATTATTACTACTATACAATTTTTGTTTTTCAGAAAATTTAAAATCAATCAAGCAGATATTTTAGAAGGCCCTGCTTGCTTTACTAAAAAGTATAAGAAATATTTTTAAGTTTTTCTTTTTTATATATATGCATATATATTTTATAAAAGTTTTGTTTACAAAAGAAGTATAGTACTCTGCTTTTCAGTTGTTTTTGACTGCTGCTGTTTTTCATTCATGAATCACAGCGTAGGCAGAAGAAAATGGTAATGTGAACATTTTATTATTCAAATTTTTTATTTTACCATGAAGTGGGTTTATAATGAAGGAAGAAGATGATTGTTAAGGAAGCCAATCTGTACTTGACTGACCCAGAAAGTCAATGTTATTAGAAGGAGAGAAAAAAAAATCATTGCACCTTACAATCATCTTGGTCAAAAATAGGATTATCAATTGTTTTGTTGAAATTTTCAGAAGCAGACGTGAAGATAAATTCAACTTTTTCAGATGTACTGTGATTGTGGTTTTATAGAATTGGTTTGAACAAATTTCGGTGAAGTGAAAATGTGAATAGATTGATTCCAACCAGAAGCAGATGTTTATTTCATTCGTAGAAACCAGATAAAAAGGGATAGGATGTCAATTATTTATAGTAACTAGTTAAATGGTATTGATGTTATTTGCAGAAATGGAGGAAGGCTGTTTAACGGTAAAACTCTCCGTCCGGTAGCCATCGGTGACTCTTTGGTCCCTGCAGTTTGTTGAAAAGATTCGATGAAGCTCGCTGCACGGTTTTCATTTGTGGGGGGGTAAAAAAAACAGAGTTGGAATTCATCCAGTTGGCTCGTTCTGATTATTCCCGATGGACTTGTCTCGAAGCCACCTTAACCGCGCTTTATTGTCTGGTGTGGTCGTTTGTCCGCAGCCGCCGAACAATGCAGGACGAGGCAGGAGACCCCCCGCCCCGCTAGGCCCCGCCCCTCAGTCAACAAGCATTTCTCTGAGGCGTGTGCTGAAAACAAAGCTGGGTAAAAAGGGTCAAATGTTTCCTGAATCTGCAGCAGCTTAAAGGAGTTGCTACTGTAAAATACAGGAGTGTAATCCTTTCTCCTCGTCTGGTTACTGACAGCGTGATTGGGGGGGGGGGGGGCTGCTGCCCCACTGTAATTAGCAAAGCTGTACAGAAGCAGGTGTTTCGTGGCGCACTGTGGCTTTGACCCCGGGTTTGGAGGTCTGGCCAAGCCTCTTTTCTTTTCTCTCTTTTCTTTGGGAGTGGCTTTCATTGCCCCCCCGCCACCTCCGGAGCGTACAGTTGGACCGTATTGTCTGGGCGGCGGCGGCGGCGTGGGCTGCAGGCAGCTCGGACACGGCCTGGATTCACACATTGACAATTAGGCAAATGGGTCGGCCCAGGTGCGGACCGTGTGGGGACTCTGGACCTCGATGGATGCAGCTGGGCGACGGGGACGCACCCCCTCCTTTTTTTTTTTTTTTACCCCAAGTGGGGACTGGTAGGGGGAGGGGGCCCCTCTTTTGTCCGAAAGCACACACAAGCTTTGAACGACACTAGCTGGATTTGGCAGCTGTGACAAAACTGGGGGGTTTTGGGGAGAAATACACGACTGGGTTACCTGGAACGAGTGTGCACGATCAAATCACACGAGCTGCGCTACGTTCCCTGCTCTTTGTAGAAGTGCTGTTTGAAACGACCAGCGTTTCCACACAAAGTCCTGCCTCGCTGCTGGAAACTGGCCCCTGGCCCCCCGAACGCCTGGGCCCACGGCAGCCCCCTCGCCTTACTCTCAGAATGAAATCAGACTATTGTAATTGACAGGAAGGCCGAGGAAACGCCCCATTTAACCAGCACTCATGCTGAATCAAATTACACACCCTCTGCGTCTGCCTTAGACCCAGCCTGGGGATTTCAGAGGGCTACAGGAGCGGATGGAGGGGGGAAGGTAGGGATTAAAACTGTTGAATGATGGGAGGGAGGGAGCTGGGGGGTATGCTCCAAGACAAAAAGCAAAAAAAAAAGAAAAAAAAAGGAGTTGTATTGGAGAGAGTTGTGAGCTGCTGTCACATGTGTGTGTGTCGTGGTGACACCAGTGAATCAGCAGTGTGTGTTGATGAATAATTAGCTTCCGTCTCTTTTTAACGATACGAGTCTTCAGGGCAGACAAAAGCCCCTCCGTAAAAAAACAACAACAACACACACAGAAAGCAGAGAGCTCACGTGATGCTGTACTAACAAGTACCTTGAAATGTATCAGAAATGGGAATAAATAGGGTTTTTTTACGGCTGGAGAACTTGCACAGCGTTTTTGGCCTAAGCTTTTCAGCGTCACGCTCGACACTGACACTGCTCCTTGAACTTAGTATTCTTTTCTTCTTTTCTGTTCTGCCTTAATGTTTTTATGGAATATTGCCATGACTTTGGCTCACAAGGTAGCAATGTTGGCCTTTGATAGCACCGCTCCCCCAAATCCAACTTTTTACAGAACTTATTTTTGGAAAAAAGAAGAATGTGAATCAAACCGGTGGGTGGGTGGGAGAGGGGGGGGATTAGAGGAATTCTGGACATTAGGCTCTTTAAATAACAAAACATCAAATACAGAATAAAGCACCTTATTACAAAATTGTTGATAAATACCAAACCGACCACTGATGGTGAAATATATCTCACAGAATCTGAAAGACATGCACATAAGGATTCCCTATCATTTATTTTGTGTGTTTATGGTTCTTGTTATGAATAGTGGCAGTTTGGGAGAGCTCTCATCCATTAATGCTGTTTTGATTTTGATTTGTTTCAGTTTTGCACTGGTTTATTGAAGAGATGTCTTATTGGAGATTCTCCTGGTTTAGACGCTGTAAGTTAACGAGTGTTGTCCTTTGGAGAGCACTCTTCTGTAAATATAGTACGTGTTTCAGGTAGGAAGGCGTTTCTGATTATTTTTTACAATCTCAAAGTGTCATTCGTCAATGTTTTAGCATAAACTCAAAACGTTTGAGTTTAGGGAGAGCAAATCTTTCATATATGCGCCCCGTCACCCGTTTGACATTTATAGTATATTAGATAGATTCATACATGTAAGAAATATTATTTAAACTTAGTATTTCATCCAAATATAGACACTATTATAAACTGTAATTATGAATTTTATGAATCCGCTGATGTATTCAATCTCAAATAAAAACTCAAATATTTAATAACTTTTTTTCTCCCCCGTGAAAAGAAATGAGCTTTTATTTATCAGGATGAAAAGCAATAAAAAGGACAATAAACAGTCGATTCTTTAAATACCTTAATTATTAGGATGAGAACACTGCATTTTTGCGGATTAAAAAGAAATCCAACTAAATCCTAAAAGCTTCAGGTTTTATGAGTTTTCCGTCACGTTCAGAACTTCAGATGCTAGTTTGTGAGGAGCCTGGAAAAATCAACGTGTGAATTTGAAGACGGAGCTTCGAACAGAAGTTCTGGCTGTTTGTTGAAGAGCCGGAGCTGATAGGCTGGCATCTCTGGAGCTTTTGTAAAAAAAAAAAATAAAAATCCAGGCGTCAGAGAGAAGCAGAAGGTGGGACCACATGAGATAATAGGCTGTCAGAGCCGTCCACGCGCTTTGATTCGTTACATCCATTATTCCCTCTGAGGTTCCACTCCGCAGCAGGATCGTACTAAGACTTATTTCACTTTTATTTTTGCACTGCTTCGTTTTCTTTTGTCTCCAGAAAGAAAAAGAAAGGTCAGATGTTGCCAAAGAAGAAAACACGAGCTAACTTATCACGATACGTAACATTTTTTAGCACCAAAATTAATCCGTTTTTGGAGTTAACTGAAGCAAGATGATGATTTGATTGTTGGAATTAATCCCAAAAATGATTTTAAAATTAGGCGTGTCGTTTGTCTTACAACAAAAGACACAACTGACTGACTTAGTTCTCCCCAAAGAGACCAGATTAGAGTCCATCGGGACTCTTTGGGTTACTAATCATTTATTCTTTCTGATAAACTCGACCGATCTGAAGAAGTTCGGATTAAAAACGACATTTATGTAGAAAAAGAATTGGGTTTTTATTCAAATCATTAACTGCATCCTTATTTCACCTGCATGTTATATAGTAAAACGAGGGTAAGATTTATCAAAAAGAAGTTAAAAAGATTCATCAGCCTGATATCTAAAGTGTATAAAAGCTTTAAGACCTTAAATTTAAAAGCTTATATTTACTGTGTAGTTTAACTAATTGATGCATAGTTTAATTATTGATTCCTAAAATGAAGCTAAGTTTTATTTGTCCAGCTCACCTGAATGAATTAATTCTGTGGAGCAGCACAGGCTGGGACGATGTAGTGGTTCATTCTGTTGGTGTTAGTATTATTTACAATACTGTATTATGGCTACTATTATAGTAAAAATAGATGTTTTTCTTCTCTTCATATCAAAAAGATCTTTATGCATTTATGTAGAATCCCTTTCAAGGAGTGATAGGAAATCCTTATTTCTAATGGATGCACTTAAAGCAATTCTACCAACCTGTCAGTCACACATTGAGCAAGCAATGCATTTGAATGTAAAAAAAAATAAAAAACATAAAAATAAAAAAAAAATTATGCAACTGTATTGTTTTGTCAGTTTAAAAAGTGAGCTTTAAGTTAGTTTTTTTTTAAAAGAATTTGCAACAAGTTTTCAATGTAGTCTATATTTGAGTTCTTCCACATGCATTTATAGAAAGTAACTTAAAAATGAATAAAAAAAACATATTACAGTTTTTCAAATCTATTTTGCTAACATGGGTTATTATTTCATAGAAAGCAGAGGGAAAACGTCAGTATCTGGATGTTATTTATGACAAATAAAAAAATGAAACAGCATATTTATGAGTAACCTCAAGACATTTTGTTTTTTTAATTAAAATGACAAGAAATTAATATATTTCTAAACACAGGGAGGTCAGTTTCTACTAATGAGTAAAAAAAAATAAGAAGTATTATTTATGAAAGTTATGGACGCTTTATTCATGTGCTTCACAGAAACCTGGACAAAGTGAGCCATAACTGAAATTTTAACTTCAGACGTGCACTACTTCCACACCAGTGCACTAACAGTGGAATAATTACAGAAAATAATATAATATTTTTAGAATTTGGAGATATTTTAGTCACAGAGCATCATTTTTGTGCCTCGATTATATCTATTTTTCCTGCATCAGCATTTGTTTGTGCAGTGCTGCTTGCTGTAACCCCCCCTTCCCGCCCTTTTTCAACTAACCCACGTTACTGACTGAAACCATTACTCATTTCCTCTGTAATCTAAACTCGCTTTGTTTCTTATCAAAATGTAAAAAACTTTAAAAAAACTGCAACGCTTGGAATGAATGAGGCAGCTGTGACCCTCTCGCCCAGCAGGGCCACGCACTCGCACACACGCGACTTGTAAACACGATCACTCGCACATTTCTTTCATCTGCTACTCAGTCTGCGATCGATCGATCGGCGGGGATGACGGGACGTAATCGGCCTTAAAGAAAAAATCGACTTTTCCTGATGCGTTAATTAGGAGAAGCAGAGGCGACGGGCAGCAGACGACAGCGCACTGTGTAGATCTATATGTAACTAGACAAACACACACACTAACACACACACTCAGCAGATTCATTGCCGTATAGTTTGCATGTATATTGTATGGTCACTTAGACAGGAGAAACGGTGCAAGGTGGACTCCCGCCTGGACCGGTTCTCTGCTGTAGATTTTCATAGTTTGGAGCCTCTTAAGAAAGAGGAAGGTTGAGTTTGGAGCCAGACGGAGACCATTTCAGACTCAGTTACCTGTTTGGGAATTAACGTTTGTTTCCGCTGCGATTGACCTTCCATTTTTGACGGAGCTGATACGGTTTGAAAAAATGCGTGAAAAAGAAGAAGAAACAGCGAGTTGTTGTAAAAGTCGTGGCCTGACATGGTGCTCGCTGGCCAAACTCAAGACCTTCCCAAATGCCTCTTTTCCACTGGTGCCACTTAGTGTAGTGTCGGTACGGGTCAGTTCAGGACGTTCCAGTCCGGTTCCAGTGGGTGTGTTTTGGGCGGTTGGTGGAGGTGGTTTTGGAGGTTTTCAAAAAAGAATTAATGCGCAAAATGAGAGATTGAAACACATTTGCCGAATAAGTTCTGAAATTTAAAAAATTCGCTAAAAATTTGAGTTAAAGTTGGATGGAAACACGACTAATGTCGCTGCTACAATTGAAAAAATGGCACCTGAAGTTGTTGTAAAGGCAGCTTAGATGCAACCAGTGACTCCACCCCCTAGCCAATCAGCGACGAACAGTGTTCTGATGTCGCATTTTGGTGTCGACTGGGACCACTTGGAACTACAACGAAGTAGGTACTAAAAAAAGGGCGAGTTCCAAGAAGCTGGGCTAATGGAAATGGTTTAGAACTGTACCGAACCGTTCCGACACTACACTAAGTGGCACCAGTGGAAAAGGGGCAAAAGAGGCCGATGCAGTCCGACAGTTTGTCTTTGGTAGCGTTTCCAATTTTTCCAGCACAGTAGAGGTGTTTCATACCGGTCTAATAGTGGTTGTAGTGCATTAGTGTTTGGGCCGGCACCAGCCGGCGTTAGTTTCTGGTTTCTCTGTGAACAGTGAGGGAGGGTCGCCGCCGTGGCCCTCAGAGGCGGAACGTCAACTTTGATGGATGAGAAAGAAAAAATAAAAATAAAAAAGTTTTTGAACTCTGTTACAGTGTGCCATGCCCTTACCAGGCGTGTGATATTGCAGGTTTATTTCTTATAGCACATGTTTTTTTTGTGAATTACATTTTTTGAAGACATTTTTATTATAATAATTATTATTATTGTATCTGCGCCATGTTAGTTCTGGTTATTTGTTATTTTTTCAAGATTCAAAATGTATTGTAAATGTTTCTAATAAAACAAAAATGAAATGAACTCGAGCAGAATGTTGCTTTTTTTTCTTGGAGACAAGAATCCTGATGGTTCAATTGATCCTTTGATAATGACTATTAATATTTAATATCAGTAATCAGAAGAATATCATTGTACAGCACTTTACATCTTAAATTACACTGGACATTAGAGGTTTTAGTACAGCCATGTCAATATTGGGTGATGAAGAATCACAAGAGTCAAATCTGCTTGTTTGAAACTGAAGAGACGTAAGAGATGAGCTATAACAAACAATTTATTTGTACATGTGCAGTCCAAATATACATATATTCAAATAAAAGTTTAAAAAGTCCTAACCTACACCACCCAGTTGTGAAGTGAACAGAAGTGTGTGTTGATGTGGAGACACATCAGCAGGATAAACACCATCTGAGTCCAGAACCTTTGGATTTAATCAAGCTCCCCTCTAACGCTACGCTCCGTTCTCCCGTTCTTCATCTAGTAAACTATTTGATGCTAACACAACCCCACCCCTCGGACAGGAAATAAAGACAAGTGAAAGTGAGGGCAGACCTCAGGGAGATCCCAGAAGACAGAGAGTCCTGATCCAGAGACAGAGACAGGAGTAGGTGAGCAGGCAGTGGAGGATTTCATTTACAGTAAAACAAGCCATCCGGGCACATGGCAGACCACAGGAGCAGGGCTGAGTGCCCTCGCTATCATCCCCTGAAATATTATCCCACCCATCCATTCATCCCAGGTGGCAGGCAGCAGTACGGGCTTGTCCATGCATTTAAACCAATTTCCAAATCTTTCCCGGGATCAGAGGAAAAAGGGCGAAACGGTCATGAGCCGGGTCGACGCTGCCGTCCTACTGCAGTTAACCCAGCCACCAACCATCCCGTCACATCTCCAGCTAATGCTAAATGCTAAAGCTCGCAGGAGCACGACTCATCTGCGGCGTACAAAGTGCGGAGAGAAGAAGAGCCTTCCAAACAGATCTAAAGCCATCAGAAATCACTCGTCACTTTTGGGGAGGGGGTGTTATTGCTCTGGGAGGCCTGCTGGAGCAAAGCTGACCAAATTCCAACATGTGCACGTAGAAAAACTGACTCCACATAGGCTAAATCATCAGAAAGAAAGGTGTATTGTATTCCTTTAAAGTGAGGCGATTAGTGTGGAAAAATCAAGCAAACCTTTTAGCCAAGCAAGATAATTTAGTGTTCAATAAATACAATGAAAAAAGGGACAATTTTCTGAATATTTTAGTTTGAGGAACAGGAAGTGTTTTGGTGTGATTCAGTCTTCTGAAGTGGAGTTTTATATCCCAGCAGTGAAAAACAGAAAGGAAGCATTCACCTTTTTGTAAAACAACAGTTTGAAAAGACAGAATGAGATTTAAAAATGGATCTTATTTAACTTAATGTTGGACTGAATCACTTCTGATGGTGTAGCTGTGGAACGACTTGTTTAGAAAACACCTGACCTGCTTTGTTTCCCCTGATTAATCCTCCCTCATCACACATCCTGGATACTCTTCTACATTTATTTACTGTCCCTCATTTACTCCCCTCCTCCAGATAACAGATCAAACCCTGAGTACATCACTACCTGTCTCTCCACTGTCCGTCTGTCTGTCTATCTGGTGGTCTCTCCACCGAGGTGAAGGAGGAGCTCAAAGTCTCAGTTGTTCTGGCAGCAGGACCCCTTGCTGGACGAGCTCTGGGTGGGCTCGACTGTGATGGGGACGACGTTGGAAGCAGGTGAGAAGTCGGAGTTGCTGTGTCCTGACATCTGTCTCTGAGACACGATGTTGTAGATGGCTGCAACAGAGGGAGAGGAGTGGCGTCAGGACACCAGTCCATATTGTGATAAAGACAAACAGCATGGCAAAAACTGAACAACAACTGTTGTATCCAGACTCCTGGCAGCACCGGAGGATTCTTTCCAGCCTAAACTGGCAACGTTAGATCATGTGGAAGAATCATGGCTGCAGTTTCACAGAGCTACAGCTGAAACAGGAAGGAGACGAACCGTTCCTGGTCACCTGTGTGCTTCAGAACTACAGTCAGGCCTCATAGCACACATTAAGCTTTGTTTTCCAGGATTAATTCTCCATGTGCTTCTTCACAACATTCCTACATGACATTTTGTTTGTGGTGGTCAGCCAGTTTGACTGGTGGAAACATAACTGATTCACTGCTGATTCCTTCCTTTTTAAAACTACCAACAGAAAACAGTGCTGAAATAAAAGCTGCCTCTGCACCGAGAACATTTACAACAACTCAAGACTCATGACTCTGTCAGGTGGCAAAATGATGACTCGTCGTAAAAGCCTTCAAACATAAAGAGACAAAGCAGGACGACCTTCTCTGATCTGCTCTGTCTTCAGGAGTGAAGTCTGCTCTGCTCGGCTGGCTCTACAGTTCAGCTCTTATTGGCTGCTAATGCACAGCTTTTCCTGCCATAATCAGCTAATTGGCAGCATTAACTCAATGGAGTTTTTGTTTTTTATGAATTTTAAATAAGTGATAAAGCTGAGGAGAGGGCAGAGGCTTCAGTGAATTCAACATGGAGCAGAACACAAACAACAAGTGTCTCCTGCTGATTGATAAAGCAAAGGCCAGTTTAAGTGGAAGCACCACTCACTGTTGGATTGTCCCTGCAGGCACTCCAGGGGTTACCCGAGTCATTATGACTGCTGCTCCCCTCATGTTATCACTTGTAAGAGTGGATATGAGGCTCCTGAGGAGAGCGCTCCAAGATGTTTACATGAGAAAACATGCTGAAGAGTCCATTTATGAACAGGAACAAAGTGGATCTGTGACCTTAAAGTCATCTTCAGATCAACAACACAAGAATTACTCACATCTCTAACACAGACAAAGACTCAGGCTCCTGCAACAGGAAACAGGGTGGAAGAAAAGAGCTGATCAGGTGGGATCTGCTGCCATCTAGTGGCAGAAATAAAAAAAAATATTCTCAATCAGAATGTCAATAAAAATGTTATTTCAAACTGAAAACAACAACTACAGAACCAAACTTTTAGGTAACGCTTTCTTTTACGGTACCCTTATTACCATTGTAATTACATGGTAATAAAAAAATGGTAATTAAATGTAATTACTATCTTATCACCATATAATTACGTGGTAATTATGGTACAAAAGAAAAACTATTAGTAAAACTACCTTTATTGGGTAACTACAATCAAATTACTATTATTACTATAATTACTAATAACTGTCCAAATTACCTACTACTTATTTAGGAGTTACATAATGAATTGTAATACATTACCAGGTAAGTGTTATATTACTGCAGACAGTTACATAGTAAAATTTTCCCCTAATTACCACGTAATTACATGGTAATAAGGTAGTAGTTACCATTAAATTACATTTTTTATTAGCTTGTAATTACATAGTAATAAGGGTACTGTAAAAGAAAGCGTTACCAACTTTTAAATTGTAGTGAGCTTCTTAGGTTTTGAAAATCCCTCTCCCTACCCTCCCTCCTGAGGGTCTCAGGTGTTAACGGTGGTCTCTCACTGAGCTGCTGTCAGACACCAGTTGGCAACTTGAAATTGTGAAGAAAATCAAATAAAACGTGTTTCCCACTGAAGTCTCATTAAATTCTGAGCGTTTGCAACCAGGTGATCAGAGAGTCACGTGTGTTTTTTAAAAGTCACAACCCAAAGTGCATTCTTGTGCAATCTGTACACACTAATGTGTCGCCCACACCGTACCCACCAACCTTTTACCAAAACGTTCAGACTGAAAACCTCCAACATAACGTTTGTTTTCAGAGGAGTCGGAACTAAAAACAAAGAGCTGTTTATTCCTTAGACTCAAACATGAAACTCCTTAAAGGCCAAAGCTTCAGTTATGATTTAACCTTCATGTTTGACCAAGTAAATACAATTTAATAAATTCAAGCAGAGCTCACCTGTGAGAATGGTCTGAAAAGCCAGCTCCACATTAGATGAGTCTAATGCTGACGTCTCCAGGAAGGACAACGCGTGTTTCTCTACACAACACAAATCCAGAGGAACACGTTAAAAACCTGCTCCTTTATTATTGTTATTTCTCTGAAAACAGTTTCCTGTTTGATTCTTCTAACTGGGTCTAAAAACACAACATTTGTTGAGGATTTAAAAGCATTTTAAACAAATATTCATACACACGGATGATTTGTATTAACTCTCACACATTCCTGATAAATCACTGACAGTGTTGTGTTTAGCCAACAAGCACATCTCCATAACAAAAAGTATTCAAATCCAATAATTTGATCTTTTATTCTTTTGCTTTCTCTCATTTTGACTTCCAAAAAAAAAAAAGATCTTCTGTCAAAAAAAGACCTGCAAATAAAAGGTGGGAGTTTCAAATCAATGTAAAAAGTTGTGATAAATCAGTGATTGTGACTTCATTGTAAAAATAATCAAGTAAAAGAATAAATACATCCAGATTATATATTTCAATCCCACTGAGTAACTTTAAATCCAGATTGAGGGAATTAGAGATTACTTCCTTAAATTGTGAATGTTTTTAATAGTGATTGTTTGTTTTGTGTTTTAATTGTGTAACTCTGTGTAAATGTATACTTTTTCCTGCCTCTTGGCCAGGACTCCCTTGAAAAAGAGGTTTTTAATCTCAATGGGACATTCCTGGTTAAATAAATAAATAAATAAATAAATAAATAAATAAATAAATAAATAAATAAATAAATAATGAAACAATGTATTCTGCCTATCACTGTTGGTCATCGTTACGTGTTCATTAACCACTTCTTTAAACACTGTTTATAATAATTACCCTTATTTGTACATTTAAAATATAAGGAATGGTGGAAATAAAGGGGGAATATCTCAGGTAATTTAATGTAAAAACACCTGAAGCATCAGACTTGATTTGATTTTCTGTTTTTTTAAAGACTTGCAGCAACACTTTGCATAAACATGTTCACAGCAGGGTCATTATGTAAACTACAAACCATACGTTGTGTCACTGGGATAAAAAGTAAACAAAAACAAATAAATACAAACAGCTTGGCACTGATGAGAAACAAGGTTGCTTCATTCATAATAACTGTTTCCAGTATAAATGAGGAAGACTTTGATTTTCTCTCTGTCCTATTTTATGATTTATCAAGAAAAGAGCAACACTGAAATCAAACCAGTGAGGAAGAAAGCTCACAATGTACAAAAAAATTAAAACTTTAGCAAAAAAATAACAAAAGTCAAATTAACTAAGCCTACAGAACATAAATGTAAATATTTTGAAAAACTGATTAAGTTCTTTAAATTGTATTTGAGTGTTTTTAATGTGAGGACAGATGCTGTTTTTGTGAACTAACTGCAGTAAAGACAGCTTCACTGCTCAGAGAGCAGAAACATGTTGAGGGAAGAAATGTGACAACAAAACTGTAAGAAAAACTTCAGAGACACGTTAGAGGATGCTGACTCAGCTGATTCCTCTCTGCTTTAATCAGGTTCTTATTACAACCATCTAATAACACAAAGTTCCATCACGAGCCGGCGCGACACAAACAGTACCTGCAAAGCTCTTGGCCTCGTCCGTGGGCACGGCCCTCAGGTGGCGCAGATCACTTTTGTTGCCCACCAACATGATGACGATGTTGCTGTCTGCGTGGTCCTGCAGCTCCTTCAGCCAGCGCTCAGCGTTCTCATAGGTCAGGTGCTTGGCGATGTCGTAGACCAGGAGGGCTCCGACCGCACCGCGGTAGTAGCTGCAAGGTGAGAGCAGAGAAAACAACAAGTCAGGTGGAGTGCAGTTCTGCTTCCTGTTACAGCCTGGTGGTTTCTGTGTGGGTGTGTCACGAGGACCGGGTCCAGTCCGAAACAATGAGAACAAAGTGTGAGTTTAAACAAGAGGACATTAACCTCTCTGAGTACACAGGGACTAACAGGGACTGTCTGGGACTAACAAGGACTAAACAGGGACTAACAGGGACTAAACAGGGACTAAACGGACTAACAGACTAACAGGGACTAAACGGACTAACAGACTAACAGGGACTAAACGGACTAACAGACTAACAGGGACTAAACGGACTAACAGACTAACAGGGACTAACAGGGACTAACAGGGACTAAACAGGGACTAAAAAGGGACTAACAGGGACTAACAGACTAACAGGGACTAACAGGGACTAACAGGGACTAAACAGGGACTAANCTAACAGGGACTAAACAGGGACTAAAAAGGGACTAACAGGGACTAACAGACTAACAGGGACTAACAGGGACTAACAGGGACTAAACAGGGACTAACAGGGACTAACAGGGACTAAACAGGGACTAACAGGGACTAACAGGGACTAAACAGGGACAGTTCAAAAACAGTACGGACTGTGGAAGACCTGAGTACAAGATTTAATAACTCCTAAACAAAGTCAAAGATGTGCAGTTTTTATCTCTTGTATTAATGTTTTCAGTTGTTTTAGAAAAGATAAAATATTTAACCTGAACTTTATCAAATGAAGTTTAAAAGTCTCCTGTTACTCCAGTAGTTTTCCAGAGTTCATGGTTGTGACGTTTCATGTGAACATCGTTTTTTAAACCTTCACTGCTTCCCCAGCAGATTATAAACTCTGAATCACCCAAAGGTGGGGACGTGACTCAACTGTGGGTCACGAAGCATCAAGCTGGGGTCCGAATCACCAGAAATCAAATCAAAGGTAAAAGATTGGTGATGTAATATTTTTCCTATAATTAGTACAAAATACACAGAAAAACAATAAAAAGTAAAAATAGTATTATTGTTAACGTGTTTTGGACTGTTACCCTTTTTTATTTGAGCACTCAGACCAGTAATATTCGGGGTCTCAAGCCTCTTCATGAATATGTTGTGAGTCAGAAGGTGAAAAGTTTGGAAACCACTGCTCTAAATTGTTCTTTAGCACTAGGGTTGGGCATAATCATATCGTCTGCAATTAATCGTGAAAAAAAAAAAACATTAATCAATTATTTTTTGGCACTTGACGATTAATAAGATTAATGCCACCAGGCAGAGTGACTGGAGATTTCCCCAGTCAGTCCGCTCGGTGCTCCTCTCCGCTTCAAATACGACTAACATTTAAACAAAAGTTCTGTAATTTATCTATCGACACAATTTAAATTTTGATGTACAGCCTGAAGTCTGTGATTTTGACACAGTTTGAAAAAGATTTTTACGAAGAGCAAATCTTTCCACTAAATTGGTCATGTGACCAGGACGGGTACCCAGAGACTACAGGAGATTAATCATTAAATTAATCGTTATCGTCTAAATACCAAAATTAATCGTGATTAATTTTTTTGCCAACATCGCCCAACCCTATTTAGCACTAATGTGCATGAATAGCAAACTAGACATGCAATTAAATGTAGATTTATACTTCCAAAGGTTCATACAGTTTCAACAAAGATGTCAGCCTTATAATGGGTTAAGTTCACATGAAATCCCTTAGAGAAACATCATGGAGATACATCAGAAAAATTAAGTTTGAACAGCTTTAAGGAGATATTTACAAGGAAAAACGACTATACTGGCCGGCTTTTATTAGATCTTATGTCATTTTATAATGATTGTGTATGATTTTTACGTTTGTGTTGCTTGACATATTGAAGACAATATTTTTTGTAGAATATTTTTCATTAAAGTGAAGGAAATTTTGTGACTAATTAGATAAATTTGTATCTGGTCGTTTGTTGCACTTTAAGCCTTTTTGATTTGTGGCCTCTGTTTTTTCTATTTGTATTTTGTTTATTGTGTCGTTACTTTTATTTTGAATGTGTTATGTGAACTATGTCTGTTGTGTATTTTTTGTTGTTTATGTTCAGTGTGTAGTCCCCAGGAAGTTGCAGGGAACTGCATTTAATGGGGATCGTAATAAAGAGGTATTACAAATTTATTGTCTGACATACTACAGCTAGCTGCTGCTGCTTGTAGTTTCAACAGGACATTCTGCACTAACCATGCAGTGTGAAATTTCTGAAAACCAAAGTTTAAAAAATGTACAAGTATAAAATAAGTGTTAATATCTCCATAAAACTCTGTTAAAAATGATCTAACATTTGAAATCCATCAGAATCACATGGTTTATCTCAGCACTGAGAAATGAGACAGTTCATCTCTAAGCACTGAAGAGACTTGTCTGAAACTGTTATTGTTCTCATTTCTTTTTCAAAAAATAAACAGATTTTAAAAAATCCAATCTTATTAAGGACTTGAATAAATGTTGAGCAGGAAGTTGCAGCGGTCAGCTTTCAGAAAGGAGTTTAATATCCTTTTATTGATTTAAAGACTTCTGAAGGTGCTGCCTGTTCATCAGATTTGTTTCTTTCTTATAAACCTTCAGTTCTGTAAGAAGAAACTTTTTAATTAAACTAAATTAAAAACAAAAGCCAGGCGTGGGGTCTTGGACCACCTCTCTGGAATAGTCTGCTGTAAAAGAAGCAGACAGGTTTCAGGTTTATTTTACTTTTTGACCTGGATTTGACTTGATTCTCTCATTAGAAACATTTGTGTTTGTGTTGCTAATTAGCATAAAACTACTGTTTTCCCTCCAACTCTTACACATTTATATTTATTTTTTATTTCAGGTGTTAAATCTAAAACCAGGTTCATCAGTTTGTTTATTAGAGTGTTTTATGAAGAACTCAGTCATTCAGAACTAAGTGGGAGGAAGTGTTTTTATTGTTTCTGACTGTAAAACCTTTAGTTTTAGTTTGACTGGGAACTGTGTAAAGTCTGATGCAGACAGATCTGGGTGTCTGAACTCTGAACGTCACTCAGAACCTCTTCAGGACTCGAGCCCTGAACTTACGCAGACGTGATGGCTCGGTACCGCTCCTGTCCAGCCGTGTCCCAGATCTGGGCCTTGATGGTCTTGCCGTCCACCTGGATGCTGCGCGTGGCGAACTCCACTCCGATGGTGCTCTTGCTCTCCAGGTTGAACTCGTTGCGGGTGAAGCGAGACAGCAGGTTGCTCTTCCCCACGCCAGAATCTCCGATCAGCACCACTGAGGGGAGACAGGAACAATCAGCCGGGTCCAAATGTTTTTTTTTTTTACATCTGAGCAGATGTTCTGTGGACTTACTGAACATGTGAAAAACACATGTGGATCAGACCATGTGACTATATGATGAGATGTTGCATGTGTGTGGCTCTCAGCCAAGAAGGAAGAAAACTTTAGGGGACTCCCAGCAGTGAAACAGAAACAGCTGCTCTTTTCAGAACAAATTAAATAATCAGGGTCAAATCTGGGACTTCCAGCAGAATTTGGTTGTTATTTAGAAAAAAACAGACTCCACCACGGTGAAGATAAATGTATGTTTATAAACTACCTGTGGATTACTGGAAAATCTAAGTTTAACCACTGGAAAACCAAAATACTTTTGTAAAATTAGGCTCTGGCATTCATTAATGCTGTGTTTTGATTTTACGATACCATGTAAAGCACTTTGTAACTGAGTTTTGAAAGGTGCTATACAAATTATATATACTGTATTTTTCGGACTATAAGCCGTGACTTTTTTCCTGAACTTTGAACCATGCAGCTTTTAGTCCAGTGCGGCTTTTACGTGGATTTTTTTTCTTCAGCCACCAGGTGGCTCTTTTGCTACATTTGCTTCAACCACTCGCTTCAAAAAAAGAAAGGAAAAAAAGGAAGAAAAAAGCGATCGCTTCCAGAGCCGACTGTTGACCAGGAAGCAGCGATTTAAAGATAGTCAATGGTCAAAAACTCATAAAAGGGGATAAAACAGACATTTTTCATGGAGGAATCTGACTGATAAAAAATTTGGAGCTTAATCCAGGACCAGTTTGTGGATAAACGTCGAGTGAAGAGCCGCAGACTTTTTTTTCCTCATTGCACTCCCCGGGGAAGGAATCCCATGCAGTGACGTATGCTAGAGCGGGAGGGCTTTCCCAGCACAGCTTCAGAGCCAGCATTACCCCGGGAGGACAGCCACACAGAAAGCAACACTGAACAGATACCGCTGTGTGACGCAGCTTTTCTCAGCTTGTTTAACTCCGACACTGAAGAGGACTTCGATGGTTTCAGTGCGCCGGAGGACGATGAATGAGACGTTTTGTTGGACCAGAAACTGTTAAAGAAAACTACCAAAATAAGGTCAGTTAAATGAACCGTATTCCTCCGAACTTTAATTCCTAAAGGTTTGCTTTTTGTTTTGATGTTGAATTCACTTTTTTGACGACAAATTTGGGTGTACTGTTTTTTTATGTTGGGGGTGTGGCTTATAGTCCGGTGCGGTTTATATGTTAATGTTCGCGGATTTTTTTTTAAAAATGGCAGGTGCGGCTTATAGTCCGAAAAAGAAAAATATATATATATATATATATATTTATATATATTAAAGCACAAACACAATGTCTGTAAAACTGACTGACTTGTAGGGTTGGGTGATATTGGTAAAAAAATTAATCCCGATTAATCGTGGTGTTTAGTAGGGGTGCGAATCTTTTACTCTCTCACGATTCGATTCGATTCTGATTTTTGGGGCCACGATTTGATTTAAAATCGATTTTTCATTCAAAGCTGATAATGTGAGCCCATTTGTCATGTTCCCAAGGTGCTTCATGTTTATTTTGCAAACCTTACACACCTCGCTCATGTCAAATTCAGACTCATTCATTAAAAAAAAAAAAAAAAACATCCCAAATATTTGCTTTCAATGAAGACAGGACCAGTTGAATCTCTCTTTCCTCCAGTTTCGTAGTTTCCTCTTTGTTTTGGTGCTTTCTGCACATTCATGTGTTCCAGAAGCAGCTGTGTGATGATGTCAGCACATCCCTTGTAGTTACAAAATGGGAGGCTGACAGCCATTGGATAAGCTTTATTTTTTTTTTTCATAAAAATTGATTTTGGGACATTTTAAATCGATTCTGAATCTTTGTAAATGAAAACCACAATTCTGATGTAAAACGATTTTTTGGTGCACCCCTAATATTCAGCCGATAATGTTTAATTTGACGATTAATCCCCTGGAGTCCCTGGATGACTTAATATCCCAGTCACATGAGTAATTTAAATGGAAAGATTTGCTCTCCATAAAAATATGTTCCAAATTGTCTAAAGTACAGACTTCAGGCTATACATATTTTTTTAAATTGTGTTGATAGACCAAGTAAAGCCAGAGATATTATAAATAAATTACAGACCTTTTTTTAAAATGTTTGTCATATTTGAATTGAAGTTTTTCACATATTTTAATTGGAGAACATCGAGCGGACTCCGTCTGCATGGTGGGATTAATCATATTAATCAAGTGCCAAAAAATAATCGATTGATGTTTTTCTGACGATTAATTGCACAATATGATTTTGCCCAACCCTATTTCTTACGTCAGCTGGCTGAGGCAGCCATCTTGGATTGTGTTGGCTTCAAAGGTAATCATTGTTTTCTGAAAGTTTCATTAAATTTGTCCAGTGACACAGACCAAAAATCATTTAAAAATTTATGAATATGACTGAAATTTGATTGGTAAAAAACGTTTTTTTTTCTGTAACATTTATGCTCAAAAGCAGCTGCAGACCAGACATAAATACTGAGAGTTTGTCTGAGTGCTGCTTTCTTTGTGTGCAGTAATATTAATTAGTGCAAACTGAGGAGATTCATTATAAAAAAGAACAAACAGTTACCCTGGAAACAACATGATGGAAAAAGTTAAGAGAAATCCTGGAATGAACTTTAAAACTGTTGAATAATAATAAAAAATGTGACATGTTTGACTGCTCTGCTGAATGTTTGCTGCTTTTATTATGAAGCTATAAAACAATCAGAAACACCTGAGGATCTTAAATGTCCTCATTTTATCCTCTGGTATTTAAACACACTGAGTCAGAGTTTCTCTTTTTGTTTCAGTAAAACTGAATTTATTATTTAGTTGACATTTTTTACATACACTGAGCAACAACTGGTGTAAAATGCACTCATTTTTACCCCAATAAAAAATATTTTTAACAGTATCTGTGGCATTTGATGCAAATAGTTCCACCCAGTTATTCTGATGCATTTGAATGGAGGTGGTTCTGCACGAATAATCACTCTGTGGTGATTATGACGAGCCTCGCCCTGCACGCCGCTCCTCAACATTAAATCACACGGATCAGATGAGAGCTGTGAACGGCCGGCCCAGCGTTTGTCAGAAAACTACTTCCACAATTACCAGGTGAGTCAGCGTGTCAAAGGGAACCTGCCGCAGCGACTCACCGCCCTGCTGTTGGGAAACAGGAACTCATTTCTGGAATGTTGAAACTGAATTAACCAACCCACCACTGTACTCGCACCAACTCTGCTGCGCATTGTAAAGGGAGTTTAGGTTAAACATTTACAAATTAGCATAAAACGATGGTGAAACCCTGAGCTCAGTCAGGCTGGGAAACAGCAGCGAGAACATGGAGAACACTGCGCTCTCACAGTGTTTTTAACTCATCAGGCACAAAAAGAGCTGGGTGGAAACGAACAAAAATCATTATGCAACCCCATTTAAATACATCACCCGACTGGGAGAGGCAAAGCTTCATTACACACCCTTCTACACACCTATTGTTGTTTTTATACCTGACGAAAATGAGAATTCTGCACCAGGTGATGCAGCTCAGGCTGAAAGTGACTCAAACTAAATAATCCAGTTTAAAAACGTCTGTTCACTGAGATTAACTGATAGTTTGAAACTATTCTCAAATTTAAAAAATGAGGAATTCAAGTTTCTATTTAAGCAGAAAGCTTTTCTAAAGCATCTGTTCGAGCAGGGTAATAACTACCTAATATTTGTGCTGACTTTAGTGAACAGAAAGGACAAGGTTAAGCTTTAAAAGCAACTAAAAGAAGCATTTCTAAACAGAATCAGTTATTGAGCCAGTAAGAACTCATAAAATGACCATGAACCATAAAAAGAGGACAGAGGGATCACTTCCTGTGCTGCAGGAAAATGCTGATGTGACTCACTGAGCAGAGGGACTCACGCTGCGCAGCAGGGATGAACAAAACACAAAGATTAAAAAAAATAAAACGTAAGAATGTTCTTATTTTAAACTAAACTTCAACTGTTTTTCCTGATTGTTTGGTCACAAGAAACTAGATCACTGTGTTAAAGAGTGAATGACTGAAAAACACACACACACACACACACACACACACACACACACAC